TAGAAACAGCCTAATTGCCCATCAACTGGACACTGGATAAAGAAGGTGTGTGTGTGTGTGTGTGTGTGTGTGTGTGTGTGTGTGTATGTGTGTTTGAAATAAAATAGAGTACTACTCGGCCATAAAGAAGGAAAAATTAGAGACATTTATAGCTAAGTGCTTGATTACTGAGGACATACTTTTAAGTGAAATAAATAGTACACATGGGTAAATACTACACAGTTGCTCTTCTGTGATAAACTAAAAGTTTAAATAAGGATCAAAATGTATAACTGATACTGTATAATAGGAAGAAGGTCTAAAGTTGTAGTGGAAGTGGGAGAGGTAGGGGAAAGGTAAGAAGGGAAAAGAAAAAAATAAAAGAAATGAAAAAAATGGAAACAAATTCTCTGTAAATAGGGGAGGGTGAAGGGGGTGAAGGCAGGGCAGGGACAAGGGGGCAAATGAGAACCAAGACCTGTCATGTAAAGGTGCAAGATCCCAATGATGAATGTAACTGTACTGTACACCTAAAATGTACCAATAAAGGAAAAAAAGAGTTAACATCATCATATTATAGGGATACATGCACATCTGTCTTTATAGCAGAACAATTCCTAATGGTTAAATCGTGGACACAACTGATATGCCCAGCAACAGAGGGCTGGACAAAGAAAAGGTGGTGTTTCCATAGGAGGGAGTACGACTCTGCAACATAAATGATGCGCCTTGACGCCATAGTGGTAGATGAAGTAAACCTGGCCCATCCTTCTTCTATGAGAAAACCCTCTTCAGAATAAATAGGATAAAATAAAGGACGGATAACAAAAGTAGGGAGATAACCTTACGGAAAAGTAATTAAGTGATGAAGGGACAGGAAAGAGAGGGAAGAGTGAGGAGAAGGGATTAAAACAGAAGAAAACTGAGTCATGCACATGTACTCACTCATGATTAGAGGACATAATTATGCACCAGCAACATGCACTAAAAAAAGTGAAAAGATTGCTAGAAAATAAAATAGGAAACACCATCCTTGTTTTATAGCCAGACTGCCTCCATTTAGCTCTCTGAGACTACTAATCGCAGTGTATTTTAAATTTTCTGAGCCAGGCGTGGTGGCACACAGCACTGTGGGAGGCTGAGGAAAGCCTGCAACTCAGTGACTTAGTGAGACCCTGTCTCTAAGTAAAAAGCACAAATGGTCAGGGGATGCAGCTCTGCCTTGGGTTCACTCTCCAAGAGCATGACAAAAGTGGCAGGGCAGGGGGGTGGCGAGAAAGGGTTTCTTCTCTTTTACTGTATCCAATCAATACAAGCAACTTTGGCTACTCAGAGCTCCTCTGAGTTACTCATTTGCTGCCTCGGGCTTCATACAGTTACCAGGATACTGCAGTTCTGTTTTCCTGGACTGATGGGTCTGGAGGGGAGTCTTACACTTTCTACCCTGAGGTTAGGAACCTTTTCGGGGATGTGCACTGGCCAGGACCCAGCCCTTACTCTCTCCCTCCCACCTGTGCACTGCCTGCTTATTCTAGGCGGTTGTAAAAAGCTGCAGGGAACTTACTTTTCCTCCTCTGCCTGCAGAGTGGGGTGGGGAGGCTGCAGGGTTACAGGACAGCCACAGGCTAGGACCCCCATCAGACACAGGTTTCCCAGGATGGGAGGGTGCTGGGAGTGGGGAGATGTTCAGGGCTACAGGGGACCAATAGGGCCCTCGGGGTCCTGGGGGAGCCCTGGGCAAACACCCACTCAAGAGATTTTAAAATCTAATTTTGATTCAGGGAGACAGAGAGA